GGTGATGACTTTTCACTCCAAGTTCAGAAAGAAGTTGTTACAAAGAATAAAAACACGTAATGCTGCCTTAGCATCCATCAGCAAAAGCACTTCATACCTAGCCAAAAGCTGGGGTTCAGCACCCACACGACCGCTCCCTCCATCAGAGAGCCAACCGATCCAAACGCTGAACCACTTACCTCTGCCGTGGTGTGCTGCCCTGTCTAACCGTAGGTTGTCCGTGGTGCCTCTCTCCTTCTGCCAAGGCCTGCCTGTGCTCCCATTTCATGCCGATGCAGTACCGACGGCTGACTGAGGCACTGGTGTCTTTGCTACTCAAAGCCCTTCTTGGACTGCTTTTATATTAAGAGTAGCACTTTACAAATCGTAAGAAGCGTTTACTCTCTTTCTATCTGTATATATGTATCGTTTATACTTTTAACATACTCTTAGCCTTCATGCACATCAGTCACAATATATTCTCATCTAAGTGACGAGACGTTTTGTTCGGGCGTGCTCATGAAGGCGAGTTCCCCCTTGCCACGCTTGCAGTTTTCCAGGAATCCAGTGTTACATTCCCCTTCTTCCCTGCGTGTCTCCCAAGGTAAGGTCACTCATTTTCCTGACACAGGATGCCTGGCCCAAAGCAGCCTTGTGATCATGACTGCGGAAAGTGGAGCACGTACATGGGACACCCTCTCGCCCCAGGCAGAGAAGGGATGGCTTGAGCAGACAAATTATTCCATTGCTGTTCCTGGCCACATCTGCACCACTAAAGGGATTCTTTCTGTAGTGGAACACAAGAGCCATCCGAGCCCCTGGTTAAAAACTTGTGTCAGCGTGGGGTGCTGAGTGGGCCAGCAGCGTGCCCTGGTAGATCCCCCCCGGCCTGCCTGGTGCACCCAGGCCCCGACCCCCGCCAGCCATGGGGCTGCCCTCTTTGCACGGAGCATCCCAGGTGAAGCGCCACCGTGGGAAGGTCAGCCCGCAGCAGTGGCCTGGCCACCCGCCCAGCCCCGAGGGAGGTCCCTCTGGAGACGGGCACACTCACACCGCCATCCCTCGGCCCCGAGACCCCGCAGCACAACGGAGCTTTGGCCTGCACGCGGGGACGAACTGCCCCCCAAGGCTGCGCCCGGTCCGCGTGCTGGCCCGCGCTGCTGCCGCGGGGGTCGGCCAGGAGAGCCCTCGCCGTAGGCCGGGGCCGCGTCAGGAACACCCAACGGCTCAGCAGCCGGCACGGCGGAACTGTAACGTCAGGGGACCGGGCGGTTCAACGGCGGCCTGCAGCACGCCGCCAAAAGCTACGGGAGAAGGCGGCAGCAGGAGAGTGCCACGGAAAGGTCCGGGAGACGCTGCTGGAAGGCATATCCGAAGTGTTCTCAGACAAGTTCCCCCTGGCCAGCACTTCCCAGGCGTCCTCGCGGTCTTCCCGCACATAACAGAGCGAGGAGCTGGAGAGCGCAAGGCACCACCAGCAAGCCCTACACCAAGCCCGGGAGGGCGAACGCGCGGCCCGAGCCCCCGGCGGCCCCAGGGCCTCAGTGCGGGCTCAGCCGTAGATGTCGCCCTGCTGACGGTTATCTACCTCCAGCTAGTTCTACACCTGTTAACAGGCTGATCCCAGCTAGTTGTCTGTCTCTGGATAGTCTTTTTACCAGTGAAATTTCATACAAGGATAAAAGTGAGGAGGACATTGCAGTTGGAAAGTGAAGAAAAAGTATCACGGAAAAGCAGAGACCATTCTGCCAGGGGCTCTTGACAGCCCAGGAGGAGATTAGGTGCTCCGGAGCTTTCAGTAACCAACTTCTAGAACTCTGATCGAATCCCAATATATTTTCCAAGGGATAAAGAAAAAAAAGAAGTTTCTGACTGAGGACAAAACTTCTGCTTCTAAGCAATCTTTGCACCAAATCTCTCAAGATTTACAGCTCTTGGAGACAAATTTTTAATACTGATAAAATGAATACAGAATCACAGCATGGCTGAGGTTGGAAGGGACCTTTGGAGGTCATCTTGTCCGACACTCCTGCTCAAGGGGCAACCAGAGCCAGCTGCCCTGGACTGTGTCTGGAGGTTTCTTTTTATTACCTCTGAGGAGAGAGACTGCACAACCTCCCTGGGCACGTACGACACCACATTTGCATATATGTTCCACAAAAGGCAAGCCTGAGGTGGACATAAGGCAGCTGCAAAGTCTGACAATGTTCTATGCCTCTGAAAAGAGTTTGCAATGGGAATACATCCAACGTAAAATAAAACCAAATCTGACTACAGTAAAGTTGCCTTCTTTAATAGCTTAAATACCAGGGTACAATCATCCATTGAGTTCAGAGTCCCACAGGTTTCATAAACGTAAGCTCCTTCCCCACTCTGACTTTATTTAGCTCCAAGTTGTACTCTGCATCTACTTTGGAGGTTATTTTGAATTATCACCAGAGTGCTGCATAAGTGTATTTTACTCATATACAGAGCAGTGTGAGACAGTTTATCTTTTTTTTTTTTTTTTCGCCTCCTCCATCTACCACTACTTTTCTTGCCCCTGGGTAAGGACTGTGCATGTAGTGGACATTAATTAGCACACTCACCTTGGCAGAGCTCAAGTGACAAAGAAACCATGGACCACCCGCTTTGAACTCTAAATACAGGTCATCTGGTTTTACCCAGACACTCCTGGTGCAAGGCAGCAAATCATTCAGGTCTCCAAAGCTCACATCCTCTGAAGATTAACTCGTGCACTGGCAGAGAACTGCAAATTTTGAGGTGCTCGCTCTCCAGCTGCCTAAAGCATGTATTAGACGAGAGATGCTCAGTGGACCCCAGTAACAGTCCCATCCCTAGCCCCAAAGGCAGCAAAACTGCAAAATCCCTGCCAATTCGAAGCAGGGCAGATTCTTGACCAACCTCAAATCCAGCACTCTGCATTACACAGGGATATAAGCAAGTCACCTCAGAGGATTTTTATCATGTCAGTGCACTTACTGTGGCGACTGCATCGTCAGCTGCAATCAGTCTTGGAGGCATCAGAGTGAGTTGAAAAAATTTCTCAGAAAACATCTTACCATTTGTGTACCAGGAGGAAAAAACCTTTCTTACCAATGCAGACAACCACCCAAGGCCAAGACACATAAAATCTGATTAAGGTTGCTGTCCTGATGTGGAGCCCCGTCCCGATGCATGTGCTCTGGGTAGCATGGTAGCACTGTTCTGCTCAGGGGCCCAGAGAGAAGACAGTGAACAGGGGATCTCAGATTCACAGACTTCTACATAAGAAAAGACCATCGTATCCATCCAGTTTAATCCCCTGCACACACGCATACAGCAACACACACACGAGCTGGATTAAAGCATATCTTGTAGAAAGATAACTAATCTCATTTTAAAGGCTTCAAGCAGTGCTAAGTCCACCAGCTCTCCAGATAAACTATTCCAACATTTAATTACCCTCCCTGCTAGGAAACTACATCTCCTTTCAAGTTTAAATTGCTCTAACTTCAGCCTCCATGCACTGTGTCTCCTCAAGCTTTGTCAACCAGACTGAAAGGCCTGGCGCAGCGCTCACTTCCAGGCACTGGTTCTCCAAGCAGCAGTAATCAGTAATCAAGTCACATCTCAATCTGCTCTTCCGAGCCCAACAGGACTGAGCTGACTGTCGAAAGCAGGATACAGGGTTATGCGAGCATCTGGTTTGACATCAGCATAAGCTTTTCTGTGGTTTGCCTTTGAATTCTTCCTACAGCCCTGATAACCTCTAAGCACTCAGACAAAGAGCCTGGAAGTGCAGGCCTCTGAAGTGCCTCTGTACCGAGGCAGGACTTGCTACCACACTTGGGCGCGCGGAGGCTGGACAGTGGTGGTGATGAAATAACAGTGTACAGTGGGGAGCTGTGGCAGGAAACGGGCAGATTTGCACACCCGTGGTTAAAAAACAGTAATTGCAGTCATCCACCGGCAGTTTATCTGGGCTGCAGACTAATTCTGACTCTACAGAAACAGCAGTTTGGGTTCAGAAGGGCGTATTATTTCACACTTGGCACCATGTGAACACAGTGATGTTAGCATGCCCCATCCCCTACGTTGTGTGTGACGCTGAGGACCCCAGGCAGCATGATGGGGGGCATCCCCTTCAGCTGCACCCCATCTCACGAGTCCTCAGCTCCAGAACTGAGCAGAAATGAGGATGTGGTCACCCAAGTTCACTCTCGGTGGCACAACGTACAGTACCAGATTTATGAAGGGTTTCTGTAATCAGCAGTGTTATCAGCACTCCATCGTTATCCTGAAGAGCGGAGAGGCACCCACACCCTGCTATACTTCCAACAGCTGGCTGGGAAGAAAGCGTGTGGACGCTGTCTCTCCTGGCCAAGGATAGCAACCCCGAGAACAAAGTGAAGGCATGTCAACGCCCTGGGAAACCTGAGCAGGAGAGCCCTAAGTTCAACAGCTCCCCGGCGCAGGGCGAGATACCTCCTGTGGCAGGAGAAGCAGTGAGCAGTGTGGCACAAACTCCATGAGAAACCAGAGAGCCTCCCGAGCACTCTCTGCGGCAGCTGTGCCCCTTGAAGGCACACACAGAAGAAAAATTACAAAACAAGCCCCTCACATTACTCTTTCTCCAGGGGGAGGTGAGGAGGAAAAAGGGGGGGGGCATGAAAAAGGAAAGAAACAGATGAGAACTTGCCAGGGATCAAGAGACACCCCTGGTTGAGATTTCCTTTGTTTTAGGGAGCAACAGCTTCCCCCACACACAGCAACTCATCAGACTTGACTGTTTCCTCTCAGGGAGCTCACGCCCTTCTACTCTTTCTTCTGTTCTGGACACTAACCAGCATAAAATCCCAAGAGGAGCTTACCTGAGACCCACACAGAAACACCAACACCCACCGAAGGCACTCGCGAAGAGTGGTGAAAGCAAGAGACTCCAGAACAGCTTTTGTTTCCAGCTCAGCAAAGCAAGGCGCCGCCGAGGCACCAGCAGGAAGGACACCCACCAGCTCTGTGGCCACCACTCCAGCTCTTACCTGCGCCTCCTGCCAGCTGCGTGCTGCTCCGCTCCTTCGCCAGCCCGTTGGCCTTGGGGCTAGCGCTGGGTGCTGCTGCCGTTGTTGCCCTGGGTAGCCGCTTGCCCGGTACCTTCACCGTAGTTCTCAGCAGATCGATCTCCTTCCCGTGGACATTCTGCATGTAATCCTACAGCAGAGAGGCACAATGGTTAGAGACTACCCCTGCCCTGGCCCACCACTCTCAGCTCCCCTCTCATCCACACAATCCAAACCCGGAGCCATTCATCCAGGTGGTAACTGGTTAACAGAGATGGTCAGCCAGAGGCTCGGCGGTGATTTGGGAGCTCACCACATGCTGTTTCTCTTGCACTGTCCCGAAGTCTCAATTCAGATGGGCTAGAGGTGAAGGACCCTACGACTTCCCCAGTGTCCAGAGTCAGCTGTTTTCTGGCAACACGGATGCGAAGCCTTGACTCCAACCTGTCCTCTTCCCGTGACAAGCTGGAGCCTTGGAACTGGCTTCTGACAAGTGCCAGGTCTCACTCGCAGTGCCCAGAACTAGTCAGCTCAGATGTGAATAATGTCGGGATGTTGCCACAGGCAGTCAGATGTCATGGCAAGCCCATTTGTGAAAGCCTAGCTGGGGATCAGAGATTACACAGAGCAAAAGAGCACGTAGGTGGCAAGCAGTTCTTCCTCCCTCTCATCCGTTGTCTTTTCCATCACAGCACTCTGCTGCAACAGCTAATAATATAGTAAAGAGTAAGTAATGGCGTACTTGGAAATCCCTCTCAGGTCACAGCTAGGATAATTCAAGTGCAACACAGCTCAGGCTAACTCCTTTGTACATTCACCTGCATGGCTTTACATTATTCAAAACTTGGTGCTTCCACCGTTTCTTCTCGTAGACTATTTATTATACAACCGAAAACTCCACATGCAGAACATTAACGTAATTCTGCCCTGTCTCCTAATAGCATCTCATCTTTTGGTCAGAATAAGGCTGCAGACCTCCAGCCTCTCCTGAGAGCTGTGTCCTTTCCCGTGTCTTCCACCCCTCCCTGCTCCACAGGGCACTGCAGCTTTCCCCTAAGCTCTCCGCTGTGGCTGGCTCTTCCTTGGGCTCGTGCCCCAGAAGGGGCAGATCCAACCAGTGTGATCTCCAGAGAGACACGGGGAGGAAAACTTCCCTGCCCTGCTCTTGGGCACACCTCAAAGGATCAGGGACCGAACAGTGAGCTAGATCCTGGGAGGAATCACAACGTGGGTGCATCCTCCCTGGGCTCTGTGCTGGGCCTGTGCACTGCAACTGGGAGAGGCAGCAACCGGCCAGGGTGAGACCGCGGCTGCTGCGGGGAGGCTTGGGCTTGCTCCAGTTCACAAGCAGGTCACCAAAAAGATTAACTCGGAGCTGGTCCGTCTGCTTCCAAATCCAAGAAGATAAAGACATGAACAAGATCAGTCTAAGAGCAACCATTCTCCCAGTCCTTGGCTCAGAGAAGCAGGTGAATGGAGGTATATGAAGACCACAATGTTCTGTCACCTCAGGTGGCTACCTGCGAGGGTTCCAACCTCTCAGCAGCATCTCAACACCTTGGCTTGAGCTCTTCTCTTTCCAGAGAGCCCTGCGCAGGCATCCAGCCCTCACAGCCAACCCGAGCTGGGGCAGCGTGGCAGCACACCCTTCTGTGCTTCCAACTTGTGGGTGGCTTGACCTCAAATGACAAGGCGAACACCCTTCGGTGCCCTGGGCAATTCCTCGATAACCAGCCCAACCAAACATTACGCCAAGCTGTTCCTGGTTGGGTGGGAGCCTGGTGGCACCCCTGGGCAGGGAATCTCAGAGGGGCTGGAGGATTTTCCCTAACTCAGCACAATTGCTGCAGTAGCCGGCTGCCTGCCGGAGAGAGCGGTCACCAGCGCACTGCTTTTATTACATGCTATAAAACAGCAATTTCTTCCCAAGCCTCCTCGCTAATTACCCAGCCAGTTCTCTCATTTCATTTTATTACTGGAATTAACAACGAGTTCAAAGCGTGGAAAGCTATTAAGATGTGTGATTAAGCCACATTCAATTAGTTTCTACAAACAATTTAATTGATGTTGCAGATAGAATTAACAGAAGGTGATTGTGTGAATGGCTCCACTGGCTGCAAAATGGGAGATGCTTTCTCTCTAGCTCTGTGCAGCACAGCACAGCCTGGCCAGTGAAGCTGGGCTGAACCACATACGCCTTCCTCACAAGCAGAAGCGTTTACTCTCCAAGGCTTTGGGAAAGTGATAGGAAACCACACCGGTCTCTTCGTAGAACTTGTTCTTTTCCTGTCACTGAACACTCTCACAGAAAGGTAAAAAAAATACAAACACAACAAGGAAAGCTGTGCTGAACCCAAGGATCAGGCCCCCAGGCACTCCTGCTTTCAGCCGGAGCTGCTGCCCGCTGCTCCAACTCCAGGCATCCTGCTTGCAAAGTCTCTGAAACCGCTGACTGTTCCAGAGAGGAGGCAGAGGCGGCTCCTGAGAGCAGGAACGCACAGCTCCATGGGACCCAAGCATAGGTCCAGGCTGGCAGCCAAGGCAGATACACTTCCATCGCCACAGAACACTTGATTTCAGGGCTGGACCCAGCTCACCGGAGTGCTCTCTGTCAGCCTGTGATTGCAAACCCACAGTTTAAGCCTGACTCCCAGCGAGGAAACTTCGAAGTGGGGCTGGAGGTGCCAAGATACAGACACAGGTCGAGTGATAAACACCCAAAAGCAGATGAATAGCCCCACCAGGAAGCTTTTGGTTGGTAAAATGAGAAGCATGACCCAGCCAGAGCCACATGATAATCTTCATCTAATGGGGCACAGGCACATCTGGGGGCAGATATGTCTACTGGAGGAAAAAGAAGAAAGGCAGGGCTGCTGATCCCCGGGGTACCTACACCCATCCCAAGAGGGACAGGAAGAGAACACAACAGAGATGCGAGAGAAGTCTAGGCAGGAATCGTGCCAATGAAAAGCCATTGGGAACAAAAAAGCAGCACAAAAATGCTCTGGGGCTTGAACATCCTGTCAGGGGCTGGGAAAGACCTTCTTCCCGCAGTGCAGAGCCATGCCCTCAGGGACCCCTCTGCTGCACCCCGAATTCTGCCATCCCCCAGCCACGTGGCAGTACAGGCTCACACTGCATGAGGTCGGGGAGAAGCTGGGACTTCCCATCCCAAGGAGGCAACTTCAGGGCGCCGAGTGTCCCCTTGATGAGGATCTCCACACTTGTTCTTGCCAGCAGCTTACCTCACCACGTGCCTGCTGGCCTGAGAGCTACTGCCACAAATGGGAGTGACAAAGAAGCACATGCCCCTCCTCAGGAATGCAGGTTTCATTAGTGACCCAGGCTGTTCAACCCTAACGTGCTCTGCTTCTGTCATCCTGTGAAAGGGCATGGAAACTTGCTTCATGCCACGGGAGACAAACCCGGTGACAAACGCACTGAAGCATCTCCCAATTCACTCTAGAAGATGCGGAGGAGAGGATATAATGGGCCATCCTCTTCTGGACCACCTCTTCCTCCAGGCCTCCTTCCTGCATAGGTCCCCTCCAGGCAGGTCGTAAACCAGATATCCAGAGGGAAGGCGAGGTAAGGCAAGGCAAGTCAGAGAGGCCTTTGCTGATCAGAACAGCACACTGCTCACCGAAGCCTTTGTCAGCACTGCAGTAAAATATGTAACACGATGGCAGGTGTCATGGCTCTTTTCCCCAGTTCTCAGGGAGGCAATGCCACGGAGGGAGCATGCAGAACCCCCATCCTTGCAAAAGCTGGAGCTGGGTAGCAAGCAGCAATGTGTTCCGTGGCCCATACGTAATTAGTCCTTGCTCTAGGTAAACATATAGGGCAATACAACACCTATCTTGGGTGCAAGGTTCAAAGCTTTTAGTGAAAACGAGGGGAGGAGAGGCTCATCTTGTACCTTTCTTAGCAACGGGCTGTGGATCACCAGTAGCACCAGGTGGAAGCGAACCAGATTTTGCTTGGGGCAAGGCAGTAATGAAATGAAATGCTGAAGAAGTGCAGTAAGGAAAGCAAGTGACATCAATCTAGATCACCCCCTGAGGAAGAAATGGTGTAAAAAGGAGAGAAACCTAGTGTGTAGCAGCATCATCTGAGAGCAGTTAAACAACATCCCAGAAATTACTCTATCTCTACAGCTGACTGTAATAATGGCCTATGAAGCCTCTGATGTAATGTGATAAACCCACACACGCGTGTGAGCACACACGCAGAGCAGGCAGCAGCAGCAGCCATCCCCTCCCGGTTTGGTTCTATAAAGACCAAAAAGGTGGGGCTACAAAGTTAGAGAACTGTCGAACCACAGTATGGTACAGGGATCAAAGACTAAAAGAAAAAAACCTTGTCTCAAAGCTCCCACAAACTAAGGAAAGGGAACGCAATGACTGGCTTTCCAGGGTAAGGACAGGAGCGTGAGAAGGGTCAGTTGGTCAGGAGCTGGATGACTGAGCACTGCAAGCCCATGAGTTAGAGACTCCAGGTTAGAAACGAGGAGAAAGACTGAGGCTCAGGGCACTCCCAACACACGTGTGCCTGAGGAGACCGGGGACAAATCGAGGGCCTGGGAGCATTCAAGAAGCACAGGAGCTGCAGCACCTTGCTCTTCTCCCTCGCCCCCGCAGACCACCCCAGCACCCCCTGAACTGCCCCACACCCAGGCTCTACCCTGCGCTCCCCAGGCGCTGTCCGTCTGTCCTGCTGCAGCACGTCCCCTCTGCAGAGGATGCTGTGGCCTCGGTGTCACAGGTGTGTCTGTCCGTGGCTCACTGTCTCAGCAGCAAACTGTGCTCAAGAGGGAATGGGGAAGAAGTCATTAGCCCCACAGTGGGGAGGCGACAGAGATGGATGGGGAGGCAGCTGTGCGCCTGAGCCAAGCAGTGAAGAGGATCAGAGATGCATCGAGTGACAGCTCAGCTCGGCAGGCTCTGCACAGGCACCTCATCTCCATTACCCAATACCTAGCAGCCAGGAAAATTATTCCACACCCAAATGGCACCATCAGCCATGGCTGCACGTTCTCTGCCTGCTCCTCACCCCAGATGAAGGGAGGCAGCAACTCCGGCTTTAATGGGCTGAGCGAGGGAAACGGAAAAGAAAGATGCATTTACTCAGCATAATTCTGTGCAGAGCATGTTCCTGTCAGCTTTCCCCACCCAGCCTGGCACTGCAGAGACAGCCTTCACGAGGGGGAAGAGGTTTCCTCCAGAATTTGGTGAAAAACAGCTCTGCTGAAAACGCCTGCCCTGTCGAGGGCAGCGCTGACCCTCCTGCGCAGGGCCCTGCTGCAGGCAGAGACGGGGCCTTGCGGCTGCAGCCAAGCCCTTCCCGAGCACCTCTGCAACTGCAGCATCTGCACGAGGCCCTGCAGCAGCAGCCACAGCACGAAGGAGGACGCTGCTCTCTCCCACCCTGCTCCTCTACCCAACCCAGCGCGGTACTTACGTGCAGGCTGGGGTGGTAGGTGAGAACTCCGTTGTCGCACAGTGTCACGTACTTCTTCTTCCACTCCTTGTTGAGAGACTTGCCACTGCGTTTGAGGAGAATGCCCTACAAGAGAAGTGTCAAGAGTCTCAGACCTTGTTTGACCCAGGCACCTCCCGCTCAGCTCCAGCACTGCCCCTTGCAGGAGACCAGTCTTTGAAGAGACACAGCAATTAGGGGTCAAGAAAACATCTTCTAGTTTGGCCTTTCCAACAGCATTTTCCCTGGGACTGGTAGGAAAAGGGCTGCACCCTTTCCTCACCAATCCCAGCATGTCTTCACACACAGCTCCCCTCAACCCCGTTCTCAGAGACGAGGCTCTCCACATGCCAGTACCGATGCCCAGACCCTCTGAGGGACCTATCACATACTCTGCTGTCCCAAATCACTCTGGGCAATTCTTCTTGTGCTGAAGGACAGTGCCAACAGAAGGCAGAAGCCAGCCTCACCACCAACCAACACTGCTTGCTCTGCTACCACAGTGCTTCCAGACCTTCTTCCATCACCTAAAGCACAGCCAGAGGGATGGTCAAGGCAAGGACAGTTTGGGACGGGGCAGGGGCCAATCAGTGGAACAACATTCCAAGATACAGGTCTCTCAAGGGTGCATATCCTCTTGCCTGCTTGCAATTCTTTCTTAGAGATGTAAACAAATGGAGCTAGGGACACATTTCCAGAGGCAGACAGGCCCGGGGCAGTTGAGGGGGCAGTTCACCCCCTTTCCCCATCAGGATTTTCCATGAGACCCATCCTGTGGTCTTCAGGCCCAGCACACTCCTAGGGCCTGAAAATGATTGTGCTCACATGTCCCCAAGCCTCCTCTTCCCAACAGCCCAACCCAGAACCCGAACCAATGCTCGGAGCTTGGACCCTCCTAACCCTCTCCCCACCCAGTTCTGCCTCTCCAGGAAATCTGCTTCTAGCAGCAATTCATCACGCATCAGGCAAGACCAGAGGTGGAGAGGGAGAAGGAAGACAGGGCAAGAAGCCAGGCACAAGAGTTCAGGAGCAGGGACCGAGGAGAGAACATCAAGTATTCTGCCGGCAGGGAGGAAAGGACAGCACAGGGGGACAAAAGTACAAATGAATAACAGGAGTCTGGGAAAAAGCTGGATCTACCCACTGTCAGGCCCGGGCCCTCCGAAAGCACTGTCTGGACAGACATCCAGACTGGCTGTTCCTAACGTGGCAAAAATCTGGGCCCCAGGCCAGCACCTCCTCAAAAACCTGGACAGAAAGTCTCTGTCCTGCCAGCCTCGGCATATTTGGGGGCCCCGTCCCACTGCCTGGAGACTGAGGCTGCTGTGCCTGCGTGATGGAAAAACACAACAAAAAGTTGTAGGGTTTGGCACATGCTGGGGTAACAACGCTGCCAGACATGACCATGAAATCGGCAATAAATGATGCAGAAAAGGCAGAAGTGCTCCATGACTGCTTATGTTCAGTACTTGGGAAGCAAACGGTGTGAAAAGGAAACGCCTCCTACTTGTGTAAGGGAGAGAAAGCTAAAACAGAGAGGCAAAAGCTAAGCTGTGTTGGTGACAGGATCTGATCCCTTGCCTTCAAGAGCTCCAAGAGACTTAGCCGAAGAGCTCACTCAGCAGTGGTTAAAAGGTGCTGATTTTAGCATGTCTTGGAACATGGCAGCAGTCTGAAAGCTCATGCTTTGTTTGCCAAGATCTGCAAGGGGAAAACCAATGACCCTTGTAATTACGGCCACTTAGCTGGACGCTTACACTGGGCAAAACTGTGGAAAAGCCACCACAAGAGGTGATCAGCAAAGAACGAGGGGACAGTAGTGTAACTAATGCCAACCAAGGCAGAAACAGGTCATCAGAGAAGTCTGATCCTACTTTGGTAAGATGACAATATCTGATGACAACAGTAACTGTGTTGACACAGCATTTTTAGTTTTCTGTCAGGATTTTCACTGAGCAGCACACACCACTAAAAACCAACTGTACAAAATCCATAAAGCCATTAATGTACAGAGTAAAAACTGGTCAAGTGCAAGGTCTCAAAACGTAATCATAAATGAGAACAAGTGTAACCATAAATGGCAAATCCATGTCCAACAAAAGTACAGTACAGAGCTCCAACCAATCTGCATTTGATTCACATTATTCAATCAATATCTTCCCCAAAAGAGCTCAAAGAAAACATAAAACCAGAAAACTTGAAGGTAACATAGAAGCTGCACAACATAAGTCACGGCAGTGACTGGTCGTTAACACAAATTGCCTCCTATCACTCGGCAAACCGGGCTCCTGGGAACGGCACGGATTTTAGCACGACTCACACGAGGCCCCGCTCCTGGGGACAGACTGCCAGACCCCCCTGCAGTGGGGGCTCTCGGGGCTGGAGAAAACCATCGTGGAGCAGCTCCTGAGCCCCCGCGGTCAGGGAGGCAGGACGGGCGCCCGGGCTGGACAAGGCAGGCGGCACCGTAGCAGAGCAGAGCTGGAAGAGCGTCTGGGGGTCACCTCGCCACATCCCTCCCCATGGCAGGCTCAGGCGTACCCACGTCACTCCAACCTCTTCACAAAACCCACCAGTGACGGAGACTGCGCTGCTCCCCACTGGGGACCGCATCCTGGTGTTTCCTGCTCCTCCACGAGGCACCGGCAGCGCGGCCCTTGTCCTGCCGTGGTCTCCACTCACAGCGGCCCTGCGTCCTCTGCAGCAGCCCTGAACGTCACCTGAGGACCGAGACTACATCTGCGTGCACTCCTCTCTCCTCCGGACTCACGGCCCCAAATCTGTCACTCCCGTGTCGCAGAACGTGCTTCTGAGAGCGTTACTGCGCTCGCCCCGGAGAGTGTCTGGCTGCCCCAGCGCTCAAAGGGCCGTGTCCTCTCCGGGACACAGCAGCCCACTCAGGACCTCCCCGTGCCAGGGGCAAGACTGCTCCTCGGGTCTTGTAAGCTGACCAACACAAAATCGCCTTCTCTAGCACCATCGCTGGGCCATGCATTTCCCACACGGTGTATGAAAATGATTATTCCTCCTCATGTATAAAGACAGTTTGACGTTACATCAGCTAATCTAGATAAAAGGTGGATTCTCTGTATTTGAGAACCTGTGTTTGGTATCTTCCAAATAAATCTGCTCCAGACCAGGCTGAAGTTTCAAATTTGGCTCAAAGCCACTGGGTGAAATTCTCTGGCTTCTGGGCATAATGGTCCCTTCTGGCCTTAAACTGGCTCAGTTCTACAGCCTGACCTGCCTAGACATCCTGCAAAACAACAACTCCGGCTGCCTCTCCTCTCCTTGATGTATCTTAGACTCGACACACCTTGGTGCTATAAAATACCTACTTCGATACTTTCAGGCTGCTGCATCTTCTATCAAGCCCCAAAAACGTGTTGTCTGCAGAGAAGAGTTCAGCTGCAGTTAGTTCAGCTACAAATCTGGAACTTCACAAATTGAAACACAAGCAAAACCAGACCTGGAAACAGAGAACTGAGCACTGGCAGCCCATTTTTCTCAAGCCAGAAGGCACAAGAGTCCAAAATTGGGAGCAACTACACAGTCTAAGTAAACATCTAATAAAATTGAGGGGAGGGGAAGGGGCCCTTAAGGCCAAACATTTGCAAGAAACAGCTGAATCAAGGGATAGAGCTCAGTTAGACTTGTTGTTCGCTGCCATATCGGAAATTAAGAGGCAGGGGACAGAAGCCAAGAGGATTCCAGGTTTTAACGGTGTTGCTGTGCCGACTGCACTGAGGTTACAACGCTGTAGCCCAGCTTCTTTTCTGATGGCAGAAGGTGGGGGTTTGGCCCAGCAGCATGCTGAGAACTCTGTTTTCCTGGAGGAAAGCCCCCGCAGCAGCTCAGAGAGAAGTGAGAAGTGGCAAGAAGGACAAAGCCAGGTGAAATGCAAGAGGACGGACCAGAGGCAGGCGCATCCCCCCAGCTGAGCTCCTCCTCGGCGTGCTCCTGCGCACGCACCCCGACGTGCCTCCTGGCCGGGCTCCTCAGGTCTGCTGAGACCCCTGCACCGGGGCACGCGGGCACACCCCAGCCTCCCTCTCCTTCTTGGGGAAAGATCTACAAGAGGTAACTCTTCCACAAGTTTCTTCCTGGGTGTGGAAGTCATGCACGGAGGGAAGAAGCTGCCAGAGACGAAGGGCAAGAGAGCCCAACCCTCTTCCTCTCCCCACTTTTCCTTTCTTTCCTGGCATTTTGTCGGCCAGCGCAAGTGTCTCTGTGTTGTGTTTGGATTGTGGTGGTGCACAGTAAAAGCAGCAGCAGCAATATGCAGCGTAATGAAGCAGGGAGCAGCGATGGCCCCCAAAGGACTCGTTTACTCCACAAATCTCCCTTCCACTCACTTTTTGCTAAGAATTTTAACACCAAACTTAATTGTAAAGTCGCGTATTGATTGGAAAATGCAAATGGCAATTTAAATGTAATCTAAGCTCCCAGCATGATCCCAGCTCCCAAGGAGGAGGAGTCACCCGCCTTGGGCCCTACTGGAGTGCACGGCCCAAACTGAGCCAGGCCAGGGACCTGGGGACCCCTGGGCTGCCTGTGCATCCAGCACAGCCTTCCCAGAAAGAATCTGGTACACATGCAATTAGGAGATCATTCCTAGTAGCAAACAGCTGGGGAAGCTTAGTCTCCCGGCCTAATTAACCCACTTCTCAGAGACGAGCGTCCAGCTATGAAGAAGCTCCTCCGACCTTGCAAGACCATGTGAACCTACGCATCACCAGAAGGACGTTGCAGCACAGGGATCCTGAGGCCACGGTGCAGAGCACCCCCAGCAGAGGCACTGCCTGGAGCGAGGAGGTGAGGTCCTGGGCACAGAGGGGCCCCAACATCCATGGTCTCGCCTGTCCCATTGGGGATTTCCATCTTTTCTAGGTGCGCGTGGGGTGTAAGGGAGCCAGAGGCGTTGTTCTCAGCGGTGCTGGAGAAGGTGGTGACAAGTGACAGCGAGCCACCACACCTCTGTAGAAGCACACGTCCCTTCTCAGCCAGGCAAAGTCTCCACCCGACGTTTCTCCTTTCTGCAACACACAACCCAGCCTCCCACTTCGTGGTCAGCCTCCCCAGCCGCC